GGAATTAATTGTGGAGGAGGCCAGGCCTTGCAGGGACAAATGAGCTATGAATGCCACAACCTGGCCATATGGAGCCGGCCAGCAAGTCTGTAAGCCGGTTTGAAGGCGAAATTCTTGAAACGGTGAAACCCCTCTATTGTAGCTCTTCCACGTGCTGCTGGCCATGGAAGCTCCGAGGAGTCGCTCTGCCTCGCCCATTAAATTTTCCAAAGGAAGGCTGGGATTTCCTACCCTAAATGGCCGCATGTGGAGCCAGCTCCCGAAACCGGGTCATCTGGGAACGAGACAAGGCGTTAGCAATTTGGTTTTTAACACCTGGAATGTGAGTGGCCTTGAAGGAGATGTTGTCCGAGAGGCACCGCAGGACAAAGAATCTGACCAAATGCATAATCTTAGGGCACTTGGAAGACTGTTTATTAACAATAGCAACTACAGCCTTGTTGTCAGAGCGAATGATAATCCGCTTACCTGTCAGACGCCTGCCCCACAGAGCTAGTGCAACAACTACTGGAAAGAATTCCAGCCATGCGATTGACCGAAAATCAGCCAAAACGGACTGGGGCCAAGTGTCACAGAACCAATTTCCATTGAGGTAGCCACCAAACCCGATGCCACCGCTTGCATCTGTGAATAACTGAAAGCCGATCTGGAATGATGGCCCTTCCATTGAAACTACGCAGAAATATCAGCCACATATTCAGGTTGGCTTTGGCACCCCGCTACAATTGAATGAGGTGCCAGGGCTTCTTAACACCTGAGAGTAGGTCAATGAGGCGTCTCAGGAATGCCCGCCCAGGGGGAATAGCACGGCACAGGAATGACAAGGAACCAATGAGGGACTGCAGGGACTTTAAGGTAACTTTCTTTGACTGAGCAACAGACTGAACCTTATCTATGATGTTTTGGAGTTTCGTTTCTGGAAGCGAAACCATTTGGGTTACTGAATTTATCTCAAGTCCAAGGCAGGAGATACCCCCCGATGAGTTTGAACTCCCTATGAACAAGAAATCATCCACATAATGACAGATACGATCTGTACCCAACTCTTTCCTTACCACCCATTCGAGAAAGGTGGAAAATGTTTCAAACAAGGCAGGGGCACAGGAAGCCCTCATTGGCAGAGGTTTGTCAACTTAAAAGTGATCGAGCAATTTGATGCCCAAGAGATAAAAATCGTCAGGGTGAACGGGGAGCAGACAGAATGCTGATTTTACATCTGCTTTAGCCAAAAATGCACCTTTTCCTGCCCCTACTACCAAGTCGACCGCA